GAAGAAGAAGAAGAAGAAGAAGAAGAAGAAGAAGAAGAAGAAGAAGAAGAAGAAGAAGAAGATTGTGAGGCGTAGGGAAATGTATAAAGATAGAAAAACGGGCGGGCAACAAGTCACACGTCGTTGTTCTCGAAAAATACTCGAGCGTGCAGCTCTGGAAAATCAATATTGACCGTCGAACATCGGTGGGAAAACAACGATTGGACACGTTTAAACGTGTGGCCAATCGTGTGCGCGCGGTTCCATTTATTTTCCAAAGTCGTTTGCATGATATCGACGAAATTTTCCAAAAATCGACGTCTATCATCGATCAACAATCCACGATTGTTGCCATATATTTCTCTTCGAAAATACGACTTGGCTCGATACTTGAATCCTAAATTCGTCAATCCTATTTTCAGCTTCGTATTCTTGCTTCAGTCGTGAATCAATCGATTCTCTTCAATACCAAGTAACATTTCAAGATCTCAAGATTTCAAGATTTTGTTTTTAAAGATGCCCAAAGAGAGAGAGAGAGAGAATTGCCAAAAAATCCACGAGATTTCAAATTGTAATCAGAAATCGATTCAATTATTTATATACAAACTTTTTAAAATTATTTTAAAATTAAAAAGTCGAACCGAAACGATCTCCTCGATCTTCTCTAACCCCGATCGTTGATTCGATTCCAATTAATTCTCGATCCTCGAATCGGGATTTTCAAAAAAAGAAAAAAAAAAAAGGAAAGGAAAAAAACGAGTACAGCTCGGCCGGATTTGCGCTCGCCGATCTCGGTTTCACGGCCCACCACCAGAGAGGTAGAGTCGAGGAATCCGAGGAATTGAGGCCGATTGACGCGTTCATTAAAATAACGACCTCCGGCTTCTGCGTCAAGACGAGAACCATTTGCGAATAGAGGTGCACGCGTGTGTGCAGCGTGTACGTGGTAATCACTATCCCGGGAATTAATGTCCATCAGTGCGCCCGTTTCCGTTCTCCGTGGACGACGACAACCGAGCTGGTCATCGATCGCGCGTAGTAATTCCGAACTAATGTTTGACAAACAATTTTGAGAAAGAAGATATATATGTATATATCGGTTTCGATTTCTTTCGAGAAGAAATTTTTTGTTCTTCAAAAGCGGATGTGGAAATTAATGTCCATCAGTGCGCCCGTTTCCGTTTTCCATAGACAACGATAACTGAACTGATTATCAATCGTATTCAAAATAACGTGAAACGACGTTTTTTGATAAATAATTTTGAGAAAGAAGATATTGAGAATTTTTTGAGAAGAAATTTTTTCCATGAACGATGACAATCAAATTGATTATCGATCGTATTCAAAGTACATGAAATGACGACAAATAATTCTTTGACAAATAATTTTGAAAAAGAAGATATATATATATCGATTTCAAATTTTTTGAGAAGAAATTTTCTCCATGAACGATGACAATCAAATTGATTATCAATCGTATTCAAAGTAATGTGAAACGACGTTTTTTGATAAATAATTTTGAGAAAGAAGATATTGAGAATTTTTTGAGAAGAAATTTTTTCCATGAACGATGACAATCAAATTGATTATCGATCGTATTCAAAGTAACGATGTTTTTTGACAAACAATTTTGAGAGAGAATATATATATAGATTTCGAATTTTTTGAGAAGAAATTTTCTCCATGGACGATGACAATCAAATTGATTATCGATCGTATTCAAAGTAACGTGAAACGACGTTCTTTGATAAATAATTTTGAGAAAGAAGATATATATATATATTGATTTCAAATTTTTTCGAGAAGAAATTTTTTGGAAAAGGTGTTCTCCAAAAGCGGATGTGGAATTAATGTGCATCAGTTTCCATTCTTCGTGGATAATCGAGTTGATTATCGATCGATCGTATTCAAAGTAACGTGAAACGACGATCTTTGATAAATAATTTTGAGAAAGAAGATATATATTTATTTCTATACATATAAATCTTGTACATATCGATTTCGAATTCTTTCGAGAAGAAATTTTCTCCATGGACGATGACAATCAAATTGATTATCGATCGTATTCAAAGTGAAAGAACGTTCTTTGACAAACAATTTTGAGAAAGAAGATAGATATATATATATATCGACTTCGAATTTTTTCAGAAGAAATTTTTTGGAACGAATTCTTCAAAATTGTTGTGAATTTTTCGTGGAGGTAAATTTGATTTTTCCAGAGCTTCAGCAAAGATAATTGCATGGTTTAAAGCAATGGATGTTGCGAAAATGTCGAGTGGGAGATTTTGAGAAAATGAGAAGGAAGATAGATTGGAAGAAAAATGCTCGAGAAATTAGAGGAATAAAAGAATTAAGAGGAATATTTTTCATTTCTAACGACATCTGAACGGCATCAAGTTGTCACTACTTTTAACGCAAAACGTTTTTATTATATTATATAATACAGAAAGCGGTATTTCGTTCGAGTTGCTCGAAAGTAGTCACAGAGTTAGACAAAATTACTTTTCGTATTTTCATTTTATAAATTCGTCGCATCGTAAAATTAAAACAAAATAAAATCAAAACAATTTTCAAATATAGCCGTTCGAACAAGATAAGGAAATTTAATTCTTTTTCGAATACCATTCTTACATTCTACGTTTCGATTTAAACTCGTACTCGTTTTAAAATTATAATTATTCTATGCCTTCATGTGTATACAAATTATGCACATCGAATTATCAACGGCAAAACGATCGTTGAATCTTGGAAATAAATTGTCGAGCGGTTGTTAAAGTTACTCGATCGACGTCTCTCTTTGTTTCGATAAAGAAAGGGGAGGGAAAAAGAGATCTAATTTAAATATATTATTTATCAAGTAGACTCGTATTGCGAGCCAAGTGAATCATTTCCATCGCGTGACTATTCCGGAAATCGTCCAATTTATATCGTCGAGTGTCGCGATGAGTATTCAATCGAAGAGTAAAAAAAGAAGAAGAATCGTGACGAGAGAGAGAGAGAGAGAGAGATGGAAGATTAACGTTCGCGGAAAGGAACGCGATCTTGGAAACGTTTTAATAAACGAGGAGGAGGAATTGCCATAGAAAGGAAAAGGAAGAGAAAGAGAGAGAAAATCGAATGAAATGAAAGAAAAAATAAGAAACGAGATTGGTACAATGGAAACGAGGCAATAAGAGGTTAGGTTCCGCGTTATGGCGCCATCTAATCACAGTTGCAATAAGGAATTTTTGAACAACTTTTCGAACTTTATAATAACTGAAATTGAAAATAAAACGAGAAGGAAGAAGAGTTTCGTATTAATATTTAGAAAAATTTGTTTCAGATAATTTCCATCAATCGATATTCTTTTTAACCTTTCTTGATCTTTATAATTAAAAAATGGAAAATATCCAAGTATCTGTTCGCAAAATTTTAATTTTCGAATTTATTTATTATTATTTAAAATTAAAAATTTTAATTAATTTCGATTCGACATTGAAACTATTCTCACAATGTACATCTAATCCATCGCGTATAAATTCCGAATGTTACATTTTTTCTCGCATTTTTTCTCGCATGGAAGCGTATTCAAATATTTCGAGTTATTGGCTAAAGGAAGGGGAAGGAAAAAATTCGAAAGGTCGAGGGCGTGAGATTGGATATGACAAAATTTCGTATTCCTGTTCCATCCTGTTCGTTCTTTCGGAAGTGGATCGAAGTGGAGAGCCCATCTTCATCATTTCATTTGGCGGGTGTCGCTTAATTCACGAGGAGAACCCGTTTATCCGTCACCTTTATCTTCTCTCGTTTCTGCCAAGCGTCGAATAATCGCTGAATTTCGTCTCGGATGAATCGCTCCTTCTCTCGACAATTATCCTCTCGAGAAAAAAAACATTTTCCTCCTTAAAAGAAATACGAGATTCGAACTTCTTTTCTTCATTAATTTTCGAGCATTAATATTCACGTAAGTGATATAGATACAGATTCGAACTTCTTTTTTTCACTAATTTTCGAGCATTAATATTCATGTAAATGATATAAATATAGATTCAAATTTCTTTTTTTCAAAGAATTTTCGAGCATTAATATTCACGTAAGTGATATAGATACAGATTCTTTTTTTCATAGAATTTTCGAACATTAATATTCAAATGATATAGATACAGATTCGAACTTCTTTTTTTCACTAATTTTCGAACATTAATATTCAAATGGTATAGATACAGATTCGAATTTCTTTTTTTCAAAGAATTTTCGAGCATATTCATGTAAATGATATAGAAACAGATTCAAACTTTTTTTTTTCACTAATTTTCGAGCATTAATATTCAAATGATATAGATACAGATTCGAACTTTTTTTTTTCACTAATTTTCGAGCATTAATATTCAAATGATGTAGATACAGATTCAAACTTCTTTTTTTCAAAGAATTTTCGAGCATTAATATTCACGTAAATGATATAGATACAGATTCGAATTTCTTTTTTTCAAAGAATTTTCGAGCATATTCATGTAAATGATATAGAAACAGATTCAAACTTCTTTTTTTCACTAATTTTTAAATATTAATATTCAAATAATGTAGATACAGATTCGAACTTCTTTTTTTCACTAATTTTCGATTTAATATTCATATAAATGATGTTTATACAGATACAGATTTTTCTGAATTATAACAATAGATATTTATATCGTTCCAATGGTAGAATCGTATAATCAAAATATTCGTTATTATCGATCATCCATGTTGAACGAAGAACGATTTTTGAACAATAACAATCGAGCAAAACGTAGAAATAAATCGATAAGATTATTATCGATGATTAAAATCTAAAATCTTTTTCGGCGATAAAAGAAACGAATTAAAGTGAAGAGGAGGGTAAAGGTAAAACTTTTTTGAAAACTTTTTGTATGTATGAGAGTATGATGTTGTGGAACGGGGTGGAAGAGAACGTAGAAGAGATGATGTAAAAAAAGTTGGGGATGGGACACGAAACGGGCGACGTGATGTAATCGTAAGAATTTCTTATAAAGAAAAATTCTTCGAAATAGGGTATGGGAGAAGTAATGAAATAAACGATACAATGATATTATACGAAGGACAAAAGAAAGAAAGGTAAAGAGAAAGAGGATAATTCTAAGATATTCTAAAAGTAACTTAAAAAATAAACGGGGAGAATAAACCACGTCTCTATAAAAAAAAAAAATAAGAGAATAAGAAATCCTTTAAAAGGAACCTGCCATTTGAACGAAAAAGCATCAAAACGTTCTTCTTTAAAAATAATTCTGCTTCGAAACTCGGAAAAAAAAACTTGTGGAAATACGAGATACCGAATTCTTTCTCGTCCTTATTTATTATTATCATCGAATTAAATATGTAACGAGTAAAAAAAAGAAAAAATAAATTTTCGAGATAACAAACGAATGAAAAATAAAAATCGAGCGAAGCTATGAATTTTAAGCCTTTCGATTTAAACGACGAGAATTCCATGAATATAATATATAAGGATTCTTTTCATCTTGAAAACGTAGATTTTCTTGGGAAACGTCAGAATAAATTATTCTCGAAGTAAATACGCGAAGGAAAAAAAAAAAAGATACGTATGCAGATGTGCCGTTGTCCTTGTCATAAACTTCAATAAAAACAACGTAGAACGTAGTAGAATGAATGAAATCTGAATTTTTATTCTGTACGACAAGCAAAAAAAAAAAAGAAAAAAAAATTGAAATGCAAAGATTTTGAAAGATTCGAAACAATAAGTTATACACGCTTCACGAAGATTATTTGGGCATAAAGCGAATTCAGATTACGAACCAGATGCCACTTTGGTCGTAAACTTCGACCAAAACTACCAAATGAACCAAATGAATAAAGCTCAAGGTCTAAATTTCGAATAGAAAAATATTCAAATTGAAAGATTCGTTCGAAAATTCGGCGAAGATTTTCTTTATTTAAATGTACGGATAAATAAATTAATAATAATAATCGAAACGAAAACTCCGTTTCAAGTCCAAAGGCAAGTCGAGTTGTCGTTTAAAAGTAGCACGAGGCGTTGAATAACTCATGATCATCAAGAACTAGAGGATTCAGTTTACACATCGCAGTGGAAGCTGAAAGGAGAAAAACGATCTTTCGTGGGAAGAACGAAGCCGTTCCGCGCACCAAATATCTTTATTCTTCGATTAGAACGATATTCGAGTCCAAAGATGAAAAAAATCAAAATGCAAATTTATTAAAAACAACCATTCGAAGGTATATATACGAAATTCTAGATTCATGAAACGATTCTCTTCAACATCCACAAGAATCCAAAACAACATGCTAATAAATATTCTCGTCGTAAAACGTAATCCAAGTAATAAAACTTGGTCCACTCCTAGAATCATGTTCACAAAAGAAACAAAGGAACGAACCCCGTTCTTCAAATCCGTTCCAACGAAACCCAAGACTCGTCTCCTTTGTCTTTAAACTTCCACGTAATAATAAGGAATAAAACTGAGAGCCTCCAACTAGAATAACATTCAAAGAACGTTTAAAACGAGAGGAAGACGAACGGTTGGTCTCTTGTCGACCAACAACAAAACGACGGTTTTTTGCGCAAAAAATTTCGTTTCCAAACGAAACTCGAAGATTCATAGCATCGTCACGCTACGAATTCTTCGTTTCGTATATTGATGAAGCGACGAGGACACTGAACACGACCCACGACCCACGACCCATCGGCCATCCGAAACCGAAACGGGGAATCCGCGAAAAGGGATCCCACGTGCGAGAGAGACGGAGCGACACTGTCCACCGCTCGACGGGCCGTGGAGGAACAGAGACGAGGAACGAGAGAGGAACGAGCGACGCGCAAGTTTCCCGCGCAAATCGCGCTCCCCTCCTCGCTCGCCTCGGCGGCGAAATCTCGGCGAAAGCGGATCAGCCTGGCCAGTTGGACAGTCGCGGCAAACACGAGGTGTCCGACGTCGCCAGTGTACCGAGTGTCCCCGTCACGTGAATCGGCCATCGCGCTTCCGGTTCCGGTACGCGTACCGCGCCTCGACCGACTCCACTGATCGATCCACCGCGTTCGATCCGCACTGCACGTCCCTGAGAGGGACAGAGAGAGACAGAGAGAGAGAGAGAGAGAGAGAGAGACGGATCGCGTGGGAGACGTACCGCTCGCTCTCGCATCGATTTTCGCCTCGGAAGAATTCGAAGAATCTCGCGGTAATACTTTTGTGATCGAACGAATTTAAGAGGAACGTTCACGTTCTCTGCGAGTGTGCTCCTTTTTTCTTCTTTTTCTTCTTCTTCTTCTTCTTCTTCTTCTTCTCTTCTTTCCACGAAATTTGGGAAATTGGAAATTTGAAAATTTGAGGATATTTTTGGGGGGGGAGGATTCAAGAATTTTGTAGCTTAGGATTTTGAGAAAATTTAAATTTTGAAACGGAGAATTTGGGAATGTGGGAATTTTAAGTAGGGAGGGATTCGATTTGAGCGATTGGAAAGTTGGAAATTCGAGAAATTGAGAATATTTGAAAATTTGAGAATTTTAGGGATTCGTGAAGAATTTTTGTTTGCTTGGATTTTGAGAAAATTTAGGAATTTTAAGTTCTTGGGAATTTATGAAATAAGAGAACTTGGGAATTTAGGAATTTTAAATAGTTGGGAATTTAAGGAATTGAGAACTTGAGAATTTAGGGATTAGGAGTTCGTAAAGTTGGAAATTTTATCTTCTTCTATTAAAATTAGGGGAATTTAAGCGAAGATTGTTTCTTGTTTAATCGATCGATTAATTGAAGAATTGATCGATATTCGATGGCGGATTGAATAGCGATAGATGTGAATTTAATTTACTTGTGCGAAATGGCGATTAACTAAACGGCATCGTTTACCCTTTTCAGAGCGTCCCCTCTGTCAAGTGTGCGCCCCCTAGGTCAAGTCTCCTTTTGATTCGAAATTAACTTTAATACTTTGATGAGAATGATAATAGCTTTAAGGAAAATTGAGAAATTATGTCGAGCTATGAGAAATTTTCCGTGAAAATTACCCATTTCGATATATGTCTATTACGAAGATTGATCAATCAATTAATTAATTAACGTACCAGAATTTCTATTTATGCACATCACGAAACGCACGTATGAATGTAATTCATTTGAGCCAGCGCTCGACAAATTATGATAATTTTCCAACCTGGAACAAGTTATGCATCAAAGTATTACATTCAGAGATTCGTACCGAACTATAAATTAAAAATTAATAAAAAGAATATATATATATAAAATTAACGTTCCATTAATAGCAAAATTTTAATCAATCTTCTCATTTTTCTTCGCAAAACATTATTATTAATTCCTTCTTAGAAAATTGTGAAAAGGATTCGTATACACGATTCTCGAATAAAGTCCTCGCGGAGAATAGACCTCGGACGTCTCAGAGGCAAAACGAAGAAACAAAAGGGGATAGTATATCTTTTTCTGCGAAAGCATACGCGGAACACAATGGTCTAAATTCCAATGGATTTTCGCGACAGTGAGACAGGNTATATATATACACACGTATCACGTATTCTTTTCTCCTCTCTTTCTCGTTCCAATTGCAGTATCAAATATACATTCGCTGTCCGCGCTTCACATTGATGCCTGTTACATAAACAGTTCGTACAGTGGAAGGAGAGAG